CATAATTTTAAATCTTGTTCGCAATTACACTTCTTTTCGTTGCAATATTGGTTGATTGATTCTAGAGTTTCAAACTCTTCTGTCTCATCGACGTCGTAAACATCTAAGTCTCGATGATCAGATTGTAACTGATATCGAGCAACACACAATTCTTCTTCTATCTTCTTATTACATGCAACTCTTCTTTCGTCCTTCTTTAAACAACGCGTTTCTCTTACAACAGCGCATTTATTATTTTTAGGAAGGCACTGAACCGCCGTGCAACACGTATCAGCTTCTTTACTCGAATAATTTACATATTCTCTTTCATATTCTAACGTGTTTTCATATAAATCATCGACTCCATCGAATTGGGAAAAATCCGTGAGTGTAACATCTTCGTAATTTTCTTCGGCGACAAGTGAATCATTTGCAGATTCAGTATTCTGTTTGTCAGGTGCAGCTTCCAAGTTGCCACGTTGATCAGATTCCTTACACATTGATTCCCATGAACTTAGATTATCTAGATCTAAACTCGTAATATTCAAATCCTCGACCTCTTCTTCTTCTGGATCATTTTTGGCTGGCTCGCTGAATGTAGAATATTGAGATCCGAGAACGCTGTCTTCGTCTACATTACTCCTGACTTCATTTTCCTCCGCTAAATCAGCCAGCATTTCCACCAATTGTATGTCATTTTCATCCACTGTACACAAAGCAATAAAATATTTTATCACAGTGTACTTTAATATATAAATACATTAATGAATATAGTACTCACAAATACTACTAGTATCCGTTACATTACTCTGACTCCGAGCCAGATCTAAAAATGCTGATGAGGCTAATTGCAATAACTTATAATTATCAGAAATTGTCCTTTCAACGATTGGAAGAGATTCACTATGATTCAGAATGTGAGATGCATTTAAAACTTCTTCGTTATCTTCTACTTCGATGGGATATGATGATACAGTCGTATCTGAAGAAATCGTCTCAGTGATCTAAAATAAGCAAATTAAATAAAATTAATACACACACGTGCATAAAATGAATATATAATATATATACCTGTGATATAGTGTTCAATCTTTTCAACAATTGGGCCTCTTGATAAATATCACTGCTCGTTGGAGGGAGAACAATTTTACTGGGAGTCTTTGGGTATAATAATTGCGATTTTGCATTTTCCAAACCAGCTTCGGCTCGCCTTGCTTTCTCCTCATTCCAGATTGCCGCAAGACCAGGATTCAGCTCCAATTTTTTCGTGACACTCTGTCTGTTCAGAATCTCTGCAGCATGTGCATCCACTTCTAGCTCACACATACTTTGTCTTGTTACAGATGTTGAAAGATACGTTTGTGAATCCGGCGAATCCATTGAAGATTTGTTTTGATTATCTTCCGTTGTACATACTTGCAAAGAGTGTCTGTATTTTATACTATTTAAATTTATTAAATTCATGCCATAGAGATTGTAATCTATCATGAATTGTTGAATATATGGAATGTGCGCTTCATATGGCTGTAAATTTTGATTAAGAATAGCACCATTCTGAAAATATATCATTTTGTTATTTGTGTGTAATATATCTTCCTTTTAAAAAAATACATACAAATATATAAAAAATTATATTTTCTATAGAAAAGAAAAAAAATTACTTGTAACAAATCCATTGTCCTTTTAATTATGGCTGGATTATAAAAATATATCTTAAAAAACAAATGTTCTTTTTTGTGATAGCCATAGAAAGGTCTGTAAAAAGTAATGCATTACATATCGATAAGTAAAATATATAAAATAAAAGCATAAATGTAACATTTTGGCAAGACAAAAATAAGATTATTAATCTATCAATTTCTAACTAAAATTTTCTTACATTCCTGACACACGTTGGATTTTATACACATGTTGATTTGTAGATGACGTAGAGCCAAAAGATGTATTCAAAGCAGAGTCAATTGATGCAGCTAATTGATAGGCATAGCTATCTGTATTCTCCTGAACAGTACATGGCACATACATATATGGAAAGACACCGTGAATATGCAAACATGTCTTCTTACCTGAAAACTTTTAAACTTTATCCAAATCTTTCGATAACCACTTTAGCACAATATTTAATATATTAAGAGAAAGATGTATTATTTGTCATATTTATTTACCGCCAGCAGTTGATCCAAATATTCTAATTATCGGCACCTTTTTTATCTCTGATCCACGAAATTCAGAGAATGTCACGTCAAGCTCGGGTATTGGTGATGCTTGGTAGCTATCAATGTATGCCAGAGTGATGGAAAACATATTACTTGGATTCTACAATAAAAATGATTCTAACGTTTACGAATAATATTATTCAGACATTAAAAAAAAACAACTAATAAATATTATGTACAGGATGCAGAGTTGATGATCCTGACACATGTTCCACAAACTCATTCAAATGACGTAAAAAATGCAGCGGTGTGGACACAGGTTAGGATAGGTTTGTAGGTTAGGTTTGTTTCCGTCTTAGCCGCGCTTCCTGTATTTAAAACGAAATCGATGTGATAACTGTACATTCAGACTTTGAAAGACGAGAAATAAAATATAGGAAAAACAATTGAAACAAACAAGTATGCAGAATAATAATAAATATGTATAAATTTGGTTAAAATCGAGCATCTTTTTGTTTAAATAGAAATGTTTGGCTTGTTTTACTTGTTCATTTTGTAAAAATTATTGCACAAAAGTTATATAAGGATTTACAAAGATTTATCTATAAAACTAAAAATGTTCAAATGCTGACAATGGACAGACTCATGGTCGAAAAATATCGGTAAAAAAACTTAATTTTAGTTTAATGTAGCTAAAACATGGGCATTTAAAAAGAATAAAGATAATTACAGATTTATTTAAAAAAAGATATTGATGTTACTTTATACAAAAGTTGATTCGTCAATGTTCGGCCTGACAGCCTTCTAAACTTAAAGCTCGTGCCAGGTTTCGTGCAACGCCTATTCGAAAGATGGAGACCTTGTCTTGAAACTTCGGATCGTTGCCATGAGCTTCTACGCAACGTAGTAATTCGTAGCAGTCATTGGAGGAGAAAATAACATCTTCTGCTTCCAACAGTGGTATAGCGTCCGTAAGCAGAATAGACCAAAAACTGAGAAGAAATGTATATAAATCATAATGTAAATATTAATATTTCTAAGACAAATAACAACTTACTATTTCGGTGTCAGATTCGAGACCAGAAGAGACACCAATAAATTTCCTGCCTCACGAAACTCGTCCATTGTGTACATTTTATGAAACTCACAATATTTCCCTGAATACAATAAAATATCTCATTAATTATTAAAATTAGTTGTGAAATTTATTCAATCATTATTAATACATTAATAAAAATTTGATAAAAATAATCATTGTGTGAAAATCATTTTTATTTATTTCTATCAATCATTATAAAAAGTTATTTACCTAAAAATGTGAGCCTATCGCTAGCCAACATGCAGGAACCCAAGTTCTCCAGCAAATCGCGACACTCCAGTTCTCCGTGTTCCGCGTAACATTTTAGAAATTCGTCCGCGATGTACGTAATAAAGTTGCCATCGTGTGCCCTGAGCGCCCACGTGAGAGCATTGCCCAGCCTGCCTTGTTTTATGCTCTTCATTCCTTGGATCTTGCATATACTGCTAACTAAGGTATATTTTTGAGTTATTGTAAGTATAATTTGAGTCAAGAAAGATATTGAAACTGAATTTTACCAACGTGCAGCATGTTATTGTCTCGTGCGACGTCGATGATCTTATTAACTCTCGCTTCTGTGCCTGTCGGCAGCGATTGCAAGAGAATCTCTAATCTGGCCAAACCTTGCATAGGGCAATGAATCAAGTAACTCGCGCCACACTGCCACAACGAGCGATGGCTCATTAACGTAGTTGCGTACTCCAATATCAGAGACTCATGAAGCTGCGCAGTTACACTACAAAAAATTGTCAAATATTTTAGTTTATTGTTATTACGAGATTTACAATAATTCAATATTTATTGCTCACTTAGCCTTTTCCTGATTCAAAATATTCAATTTTCCACATTTGTACAGTAAATCTATCAAATGAGCTGCAAACCAGCCGTTATCACTCATATACTGTATTTCTTTAATGACTTGATACAAGTCGTTTTCCATTAAAGCAAGAATTATGCGGTCTAAGTGTCGATTAGCTTGCCATCTCTCAGCAACACTGTTCGCGTAGCGCGAAAGTTCCTGTTGCTTGCAGCAAGGAGCAGTATAAAATAATTTTGCTGCCAATAATTCATACCACGCATCTGTATACTTGGAATATTCCCACAATATTGATTCATCTCCTGCTATTAACTGTAAAGTAAAAATTGAGTATTACTTTTTTTAAACATATATATAGATATATTAATATCGCTTCTCTCACCTTCATGAGTGTCTCCAAATCACTATCCCTAGCAAAATAATTGCTTTCTAGATTGGAGCAGAGATCCATTTGCCAGTGTTTCCACCGGGTAATAAATTCGTTCACGGAATATCCGCCGTACACATTATACACCGGCATTGTCCTGATAATATTATCTGCAGTGATGAACGCCGAATGATCTGCTTTGCTGTGCAACGCTAGGAGACGGCAAACCAGATTTAATTTTCCATGCAATGCGCAACCTATTACAGCTTCCCAATAATTCAGATTCTCCAAATCGGCACCAATAGTTTTCTGCGATAAGATCTTTGATGCCGCCAGCTCCCTTGAGGGAAAATGAAAACTGATCCATTCCAATAACTGTGGTAACACAACATCACCTGTAAAGATGATACAATATTAATAAATAGAATTTGTTTATAAGTTTTTCTAAAAAATCATATATATAAGTTTATATTTATATTTATCAATTTACCTGGTACAGCATCGACATAAAGAATTTCTGTTAAATGCCAAATGCATTCTACTTGATAAAATATAAGTTGAAAATTTTCCAGCATTGTCTTTTCTTCTGGCAGTGTTTCTTTCGGTAATATCTCTTGTAAGTTTTCAACACAAGCTCTCAATATGGATCTATACTGCTTACTGTGTTTAAGAAGTTCTGGTTTAATGTCACCAGAAGAAGATTTAAGTTTTTGAACTGACAGAAAGATACCATTACTCTCATTGACCAATTTACGCAAGAGTGGTGAAAATAATATGATTTCTGGCCGAATAAAATGTACTTTGGCATCACATGGTGCAAACTGACTTTCAATATCTGAAACAAATTTATATAATGTATGTTATTTTCAAAAAAATATAACAAATTTCTGTTATTATTATAAATGTAATTTATATGGAAATTATTTGGCTACCTTGTGATCGTTGGTCTACATGTTTGTACGCGTGTATTCCAAATCTGTTGCTATTTATCCAAGTTGTCGTAATGCCTGCTTTTTTACAAACATCATCTGGTATAACCTACAAAATAAAGAATGTACAAAAAATCATTATTTAGTTTGCAATAAAAAAGAATTATAAAATTAAATCTATTCAATTATCCTTTTCAGTCTCTGTTGTATTCATCTTTCAATAAATATATAAAATTTTAATACAAAAATAATAAATAGTAACAGTTTCAACTGCAAATTTGTGCAAGTCAATCAGAATAAAAAACCCAAAAATAACTTAAAATTCGATTACATAATATTTTAATTTAATCAAATTTAAAAAGAATACTCTAAACTTTAATTATTTAGTTTTATTCAAATTGTGTTACATATGACATGTTATATGCAATTTCTAGGAATCTAAAGTTTTCTAATAAAACGTTGTCCACTCGTGTATACGCTTTACTAACAATTATTTGAGCGTTGTCGGCTTCATCCATGATTATTCAAATTACTTCTGACGTATTATTAACTATGTTACAACTATTATTAATATTTTTCTCTACAAACGTATAAAAACTTTGGCGGGGTACCGATTTTAAGAGTCATGGAAAACATTGGACATAGACAAGAAAGTAGATATGAAAAAACTGTCCAATTATCATATTTGTCCAGAAAACTAACTGGTCTCTTAGCTAGAGATTTTCTGTATGGCGCAAAAGTTAACTTGATTTTGAAAGTTCTTTATTTGATAAGATATCATTAATTTTTTACATATAATTGATGGAATTATTTGTCTACATATTTACGCTCACAAGTCCAAATTTGAAAATTACAATTAGTTTAATTAATTTAGTAAGATCATTGACAGAAAATTGTTTTTGTAACGTTTCCGATATATTACAAAAATATTAATAAAAAGTAATTACGTAAACTGACATTAATTTGCGAAACTTGTTGTTTATCAAACTAGTTATCTGAAAATATGTTAAATATAAATTTTGTAACTGCAATGTACTTTTAATTGGAATAAAGATAAGATCGAAACATGCGGAATGTTTTGATTTATTATTGTGCAATAATGCACATTAACATTACGTAAACGTTTATGAACAACATCTTACATAGCTGTTTGCAAAATTCAATAGATATTAAACATTAAAAAAATGTATAAAAATATTCTATTAATCGTTTGGATTGAAATGACTTAACATTAGCAAAAGTCTGTCGCTTGGGTATAAAAATAGCAACAGTGAACAAATATATCTTAGATTTAATGATGGAACAATCGAACGTTAGTATGAACCAGCACTATTTCGTGATCGTCGCAAGCTTCAATTACTTCTGTATCGTTTGTAGAGCCAGCAGGACTCGCGATGTACTTGACACCACTCTGAAAGAAAAAAAAAGAAATATTACAAAATTGTTGAATAATTGATAAATTTATATTGAAGAGAAATTGTTATCAAGCTTAACATTGAGCTGACGATCTTGTATGAAACCATTTAAACGATTGTTTAAACAAGTGCAAAATAAATACGAATTGTACATACAAGTCTAGCTCTATCGACATTGTCTCTGAACGGGAAGAAGGCATCGCTGCTCAGACAAACGTTATCCAACTTCTTAATCCATTCAATTTTATCGCTTTCCGACAGTTTTTCAGGAACATTTTCGTACAAGGCGGCCCACGCAGCTTCGTCCATATCCTTTCCTATCGACCCATTGACGTAATTGTCGATGGCGTTGGAGATCTGTGCTCTCTTCACGCCTTTCTTAAATTTCATGTTTAACACTTTTGGATGCTGGCGAAGCCACCTGTAAATACAATAATGCTTCAATATGTAATTAATGCATGCAGCAATATTAAAATATTATTCACTTCTTTACATAAAGGCGCAATAAAAAGCTGACGCACCAGTTATCGGCTTTATCCCCAGCGAGTCTTGTGCAATGAATTCTAGACTGCTGTCCAGCGCCGGAGCCGATCACTTGTCCGTCCCTCGCATAACAGACTGAATTGCTCTGCGTATACTTTACAGCGATAGTAGCCACGATCAGATCGCGGATGGCATCTCCCGACAGAGTTGTCGACTTCGTCGTTACGATGTTGTCAAACATCGACTTGTCGACAACGGCGTCGTTGCGATTCTGCTCCATTACCAGACCGTACAGAATCTTACGCTCCATCGGAGACGGCACGTAGGATGGATCGATTTGGAGCACAGTGTATCCGCCGTTCTTCTTCTTCTTCAGCAACTCAAGGGCTTCCTGCGAGTAGCCAGGGGCGATAATGCCGTCCGAGACCTCCCTCGATATGAGCTTCGCCGTAATAACGTCGCATGGCTCGGACAGTGCGACGAAGTCGCCGAAGCTGGACATTCGATCGGCGCCACGAGCACGAGCGTAAGCGGTCGCCAAAGGCGTAAGCTGATCGTGCAGATCGAGCACATGGCACACCTTCGCTTGCGCGCTGTCCAAGGGAACGCCAACCGCGGCGCCCGCCGGACTGACGTGTTTGAAGGAAGTCGCCGCCGGCAAGTTTAGGGCGGTCTTCAGTTCTTTCACCAACTGGTAACCGTTCAACGCGTCGCACAGATTGATGAAGCCAGGCGATCCGTTCAGCACCGTCAACGGCAGCTTCTCTAATATGGTGAATATTTGCGCGGACTTCTGATGCGGATTCATGCCGTAGCGAAGGGTGAGCTGCGACACTCCGGCGCTGTACTGTTTACGGAAGTAATCAGAGATAGCGTTGTCGTACTCAGCAGTGTGAGTGAACGCTTTCAGAGCTAAAGTTTGTCTGAAAGTTGTGAAAACGTTAGAAAGCGGCCCTGCAAGGTTTAAAATTTATATATTTGTGTTATCGTGCGAGAGCTCACCTTGTTTGCAGGGAGGTATTCTTATCAGCAGCGGTGTCCATCTCTTTGATGACCTTATCGTAATCATTGGGGTCGCAGACAACTGTGACTCTGTTGTGATTTTTGGCAGCAGCACGTAACAGAGTTACACCACCAATATCGATGTTCTCTATCGCATCCTCGGCTTTCACATCTGGTTTCGACACGGTGTTCACGAAGGGATACAAGTTGCAAACTACTACTTGAATAAGATCATAATTCTGTTTTTTCAGATCTTCAGCATCAGAGTCGGTCAATCTGGCAAGAATACCTATATTGTAAAAATAAGATTAAGAGATGTAAGATAAAAATAAAAATAAGACATAAAAGTTACAAATATATCATTATTGTTACATACTTAATATTACATTTATAAATAATACTTTGATAAGTATAAGAGAATAAATTATAAATATTTTTTACCAGCATGAATAGCAGGATGAAGAGTTTTTACACGTCCACCAAGCATCTCAGGTGCCCCAGTAATTTCAGAAACATCTCGTACAGATAGATTAGCATCTCTCAAGGCCTGTGCGGTACCTCCAGAAGCAATTAATGTGTATCCAAATTCGTGCAATTTTTTTGCCAATTGTAACAAATTGGTTTTATCAGACACACTTAAGATAGCTAAAAATTTCATAAAAATTAATAAATATTATCTTATAAAAATGCCCGAAGAAAAAAAATTTAAATGATGAGAATTAAATATATATAAAAAAATTAAATATATAAGATATTATTAAAAGTTAAATATATATATATATATATTAAAAAAATCTACAGAATTTATATATATTATATTTTTGCCTTAATATTCATTTATTTTATGTTTGTTCAGCTGCATTAATTTTTTTATATAATTCTATAACTTTCTTTTAATATTTAAAATAAACATATATTTGTTTTATTTAATATGTAGAAAGAGTAAAACACTTTATACATTCTAATCTTTTCTTCTATATATTTTTACCGGCGCGCCATAGGCAAGGAAACAAGTGGTTGCGTGGCACAGCTGTATGCTCTACGATTTTAAATTCTAATTTCACGAATTATTATATAATTATTGGAACAATTCTGTATAGTTTCGGAACAATTCTATAGTTTTTGTTTAAATGAAAGAGAAGTTGAATAAAAATTACATGTTAATATTTTATCAACAGAAGAAGCAATAGAATGTATATAGGAATGTGATATATCAGACCCCACGCGGTGGGGTCTTAATTCAAGGTTAAATCGTCTTTTGTTTCAATTCGACGTGTTTTATGAAATAACTTACCTAATTTATTTGCCGGCATTGTCAAGCGTTAAGTCTGGACAAAATATAGAGTGACACACAAGCTTGCCTCCTTTAATGAAACTGAGCCAAATATCTCTTGAACGCTTCTCAAAGGCAATAAGAATGCTCTACGAAAGAGCGTGTATTATATCGGAAGTTATAACGTACTAACACATCTCTAGTGGGCTGCGTAAATACGATAACGTCCGTGTGACGTTGAAAACATCTCGCAATAGTGGCAGGGAGAACGTCGGTCAAATGTCATCATGTTCAATTTAGATAATAGGCGTTATGTACTTGAAAGATCACTAGTGTAATGGTCTTTTTAAAAATAATCTTAAAATTTTTTTTTTTTAATAAAGCCATCACAGATTTAAATACATTTTCTCAATGAAAGATTTGCTCTCATAAAGACAATGTACATACATATGATTTAGCATTTTTTAGAGAGTAAATAAAATAATTTATATAACTTGATATTGGTGAATATTTTTTAATCTGATTAAGATATTTAAAAAATTTTCATGTTTTGTATCAATAAATTATTAATGGATATCTTAGAGATATAGCTTTTAGATTTTCTCATAGTTGTAAATATGTCCATAACAAATGTTTATTTGTTCATTTTTATTATCAATGTTTATCGCGTCAACAGGACTTTTTTTATATAAATTGGAAAATAAAAATAAAAGTAATTGGTACATAAAATTCTAATACTTGTCCAAAATTACAATTTTATCGTACAAAAAAATATATAAAACATTTTTATAAATGTATCATTGTTTTGAACATAACTAATCTGAAGAAAGTTAATAAAAAGTAATCAGCATATGACGCATCTCTTGACAAGAATAATGAAAGATAAAACATACCTAATTCCTTTACGTGTGTTTGACATTGGAGTATCTTTTTAATTAAATTACGCTTATTACGTTGTCAACAGTATAGGCGATAAAAGATATTTGGAATGCAAATCAAAATATGATGCATTTGTTGAGCCAATTCACGTGAAGATTTTCCTTGAGAAAGACTTCAGCTTGAAGAACTGTAAAATATCAAAATCGACATCTTTTTTATTAAAAATTTGAAATTTTATACAATTTGGAAGTTAAAGTAATTTTATATAAAATAGTTTTTGAATAGATTAGAATCAAAATTAGCATAAATACATTTAAATAAATTAGTATTTAGTATTTCCTTCGTTTTATTATGTCGGGTCGCCAGTCAATAGGATGCGTTTCTTCAGACTGAAATTATAAATAATAGAATAATTAATCCAAGATCCAATCAAATCTAACAATATCAGTAATATATAATTTAAATAAAGAACTTACAGCATTATCATCTTCCTTATATACTTTTATAGTCTTATCAGCTTCTGTGGTAATCATGCGAGTGCCTGACATATCAAACGTGATACTGAACACTCCAGCCTCGCTGTCCATTGAACCAGGTTGGACTGGCGCTTGCAGTCGTTGGAAATTGTATCCGGTTCTCCAATCCCAAAGGTGCATAGTGCCGTTGTCAGCGCCAGAAACTAAAACTCCATCGGCATTTACAGCTAAACAATTAACTATAGCATTGTGCCCGGCTAAGTTTTGAATGAATTTTCCCTCCGGACATTTCCATTGCTTAATATTGTCTGGTGACGCTGAGGCAAACATATATAAAGACGGATGAAACGTCAGAGCTCTAACGCTTTTTTTATGATTCGTTAGAGTGGCTCTGGATTTTCCAGCGGCCAAGTCCCACAAACGAATCGTGCAATCATGACTGCCGGTGATGATTTGTGGCTCAGCAGATTGGCAAATGACACTAGCCACTGTATTGGTATGCCCTACCAGTGTGTGGACATTTGCTTTGGTACGCATATCCCATACTCTACCAGTAGAATCTCGTCCTGCTGTTACTAAAACATCTATGGTAGGATGCAACGCCATAGAATATACTGCCGACAAGTGTCCATGGTAGTGCCTGATTACTTTATTATATTCCAGGTCCCAACATTTAACTTGACGATCCTCGCCACAGGAAAACAGATAAGGATGTCTTTGCGAAAATGCAAGACCACGAACACTGCTGATGTGACCGGTTAAAGAGACTTTCAACAACCCACTTGCTAAGTCCCAAATCTGCAAAATTTTTAAAAATCCATACATATTAACTTGAGAAACTGTTGACTTTTTTAATTGTAAAGCAAGATTTTTAATAATTACAAAAATTTTGAAACATTTTTATAAAAATTAGACTAATATATATGAATAGACATGTCAAAATTGTATACTTACTTTGATTACTCTATCGGCTGAGCCTGTAGCAAACCATTCATTTCCAGGTTCTACAGCACAGCATCTTACCCATCCTAGATGACCGCTAATAACTCTATACAATTTCCAAGGTGCGTGCCATTTGGGTTTTGCCATTGAGGGTGTTTTCTTTGGTGGTATTGTTATTGTACCACTGCCAATATTACCTCCACCTCCTGTTGGTATTGCAACTACTGCATTTCCTTTTGTCATATTGTAAGGAACCATTGCCGAAGTCATATTAACTCCAAAAGTTTCATCTGAAAATATATTAAAATGTATGTAATAAAATATATACATGCAAAAAATAAAATTTTCATTATTTTTATCTCAATTGTCTTATTATCTCTCTATCACAATTATCTCTCAATTATCTCTATCGGAAAATTCTCTATCAGAGAACATTACCTCCTGGTGGTGGAGGATCAGCAGAGTCATTTTCTTGTTGCACTTTGGCTAAGTTAATTTGCCTAACACGATCTAATACAGGACCATAACAATCTTTCGCTTTAACAGCTTTCTTCATTTGCTGTCTGAAAATAAATATTATCAATAAATAGAAGCTTTTACGTGAGATTAAAATAGAGTTTTATTAAGAATTTGGAAAATTTTTGCGGAAAAATTTTTGAAACATTTTCTAACTGTAAAATACTTACAAAACAGGATCCACTGGTGGCAAGGATCCTTGATTTAACAGAAACATGTCATGAGTTCTCTTTAAGGAACGAAATACTAATGTGTGCACAGAATGCCTTTGTACATCCTGAAACATAATGATAAAATATTTGTTAAACTTTGTACAAATTTGTATTACTTACATTAGTAACATGTTACATATAATTTAAAGTAATATTAAAAATTATTTAAAAATACATACCATTTTTTAAATATATTCACTGAAGTTGTTAAACTGTATGAAATTATTGTGAGGTTAGAAAGGCATGTTATGTCAGTGAGCTATATCTTTATATAGTGTACCGGCAGTGTACCGCGAAATCAGAAATCTTCTAATATATGTATATCTGTGCCTTAAAAGACAAAATATCACGTTTTATCCTTTTTACCACCTTTTTCCTTTTTCTAAATCATCAAGTTTTCTCCTTTTTAAAGAAAAATTATTATTTTGAAAGAATATACTAAGTGGAGCTTCACATAAGTGGAGCTTCTGTGAACTACTACTCTGCTCTTACCATCCCGAAAAATGGATGTAACATGGACATGAACCAAACCAGGGCTCTTTTATCATCCAGGAAAATAATGTGGCCATGTAGTTCCAGGCAGGCTGTAAAATGGATGTACGCGCCGCTAGTGTACGGCCATGGTGGAAAGAAACAAGGTGAGTTATTGCGCATAATGGCGGCAAAGAGTTGGGGGACTTGCTTGTCAACCAATCACAGGGGACCCATTTTATGCGCGCAAAATTCAAACGTTCACAGCTGATTAAAAAATCAAAACAGTATTGTAAATAAATAAATACTGCGACTATTACAATTTTTAATGCAACAGGTCGGCATACTGTCTACAAAGATAAAGTCACATAATATTACATATTACACCAAACTCTAAACAAATCTTCATATTATATATTCATTTATTACTTATACACGACGGTCACATCGGTCTTTTCCAAATTTAAGAAAACTCTCTGCACGAACACTATATATTTTTTTAAGAGGAACACTGTATACACTTTATATATTCGTTAATAAAGCATGTCATCAGCCATCAGCCATAATGAATTTTCATGAAATGGGCCCCCTATGATTGGCTGTCCGCTCCCCACTACCTTTAGACTACTGCGCAACCACGAGAATAAAGGCCGAAGCACAGACTTTTACATAAAGCATAACGCATAAGCATAAGGAAATTGATTGGTCTATATATAAGCATAAGCAAATGCATAAGGAAATGGACCAATCAATTTCCTTATGCTTATGCGTTATGCTTTATGTAAAAGCTTGTGCTCTCGGCTTAACTCACCTTGTTTCTTTCCACCATGTCTGCTACTACATTGGGTTTGTTCTTTTTAGCTACACTGGGATTAAAACAGGATAGTATAGGACAGATAGATAGTCTGGCCTGTACTATCCTGTAAATAAAATTAATATGTATTAATAATAATACATATAAATTTGTTGCTTTAAAAGTTCTGAATTGTTAAGAGAAAATGACAAGATGTTATTCTAAATATTACAATTAAGACTATGATTTGAAAAAAAAAAGAAATTGTCGATTGCAATGAATTAATCGTGGCTGTGTCGTTGCAATAGACCCTTAATTATTTATAATTTAGGATAAAGCAAAGTAAGACGTGCACAATCGTATTTCACGGGAGCAATACGAGAAATGGCCTATCGCATAAAAAGTATACAAATAATTACTTAATCCAAGTTTTAGCCTATCCATTTTAAAACAATTGATCTATTAAATAATTTTTTATTTATATTATTTTTATATATAATAATACTTGGAATATTGTTTTATATGATTTGGCTTGGTGGAAGGGAGACGCAAAACATATGTCCACTCGCTTCTACAAACCGAAAGCCGAGAGCACACAGACACGTGACGTCAGCGGGTCTCGGTATGGAGCTCTCCGGGGAAAACTGGCAGCTCTGGTGCTAGCATGCATTAGCACGTGCTAGACTTGCGTCAATTTAATTGTGATAACATTAGATAATATGGCCGACCCGACGTTACAAACGTTTTGTTGTCATCATACAAACCGAACGGATAGAACGATAATGATCATGCAAGAATTTAATACAGACGCATATAATATGGTGTGCATGGTTTCATCAACAATGGGCATGATAGGCGCGATTTATCAGGTAAATTTCAAAGAAACCGTGACGAAGAACTACTTGTCACCGAGCTTTTTCCCTGCAAAATTAACAATAACTTTATTGTTACATGTAGAATAAGAACTGTTAGCTAAAACGCGTCATTTTTTATCATGTTAGGAATTGATTACAATTTAAAAAAATTATTTTGAGTTGGAATTTTATTCAAAATGTGATTGTTAATCAATTTGTTTTAATTGCTCTTTCAACACCTTGATTCTTCTTCATGTAATGTAAAAAGTAATTATAAGAAAATAGAGTTAACAAGAATGATAATTTTAAATAATATTTATAATATATGATTATATATATATATATATATATAAAATATTACTTAAATAATATATATAATTTTTTATTACATACTTTATAATTTTTGTGTTTATTTTTTAAATATTTAAATTATATATTTGTAATTAAAGTAAATAATAGTCATAAAAATGTGTAATATAATAATATTATGGAATTGATATATATAAATTTGCTAAAGTTTATCTAAAAAGGTTGCATTAAATATAAATTATAGAAAATTATAAAGTTTATTCTAGTGTTTTTAAATTAAAATGAAACATTTCCAGATATTACCTCGAGAAGACTCAAATATTTCTCAGCGTTGGAGAAGCATTTCCAGAGGACGAGATATCATTGTATGGCTTGCTGTTGCTGATCTCTTAGCATCTTTAGGTCTAATCTGTTATTGCAATTTGATTATGTGCCGTTAACTAAGTAGTACATATATAAACATTGCTCTATAAATTTGTTACTTTTATCAAACTGCTCCAATTGATTTTTAATTATTTGATGCGTTAGACAGAATAATAGATAATGAAACGATGAAATAAATGTATTTTATCTGATTATTTTATACTTGATCAGGTGTGTTTGTGAGATCGACATTATGGAAGAATCTTAAGTCAATCATGCCAATGGAAGGTGATTTATCAAGTGTTGTTTTCTGTGCTCTTTCTTCGGTAACGTTGACATTTCTACACTTGATGCGGCACACAAATTTATAAAAATATTGACAGAGATGATTGTTTGCAGGCATGGATCCAATATTTCTATATGGCCACTTGGATATGGACATTGTGTTATGCAGTAGACATGAAACTACTGTTAGGTGACAAGAATGGACATTCTGTATATTATCACATCTTGGCCTGGGTACTTCCAGCCATTCTCACTTCATTCGGATTGCTCATTTTATACATTCCAGATGCAAAGTAAGATTTTACAATAATTATTTCTATTTCAACAATTATATGCATACAGACAAACCGCAGTAAATGCAAGATTATCTTATAGTTGTCACAGTTTGACATTATCCAGTGCCATATTGCGTATTCTTCCAAACTACTGCGCAACGTATGTGCTGTTGGCAGTGGTGATGATTGCAAATCCTATTTTGTACATCGCCTCAACTAAAGACGTTGAAACAGCAGTTCTGCACAGCATGGCTCAAATGACTGGAAGGGAGCGAAAGTTGATACAAACAATTAGACTAAAATTTGCTCTCATCAATCTGGCCTACTACGTATGCTGGTTACCCAATCTAATCAATGGAATATTATTGTGGACTTTGTGGTTTCAGTTGCCGATTAAAGTAGTTATTGCTCTGTGGTATATGATGGTACGTTTGTGTACTTTTTCTTTGAAGTATGTACACTGTAAGATTAAGAAAATGATTGAGACATTTTTAATCGATAGGCTGTGACAAATCCTCTTCAAGCGTTCTTTAACGCAATCGTTTATCAACCATGGACGAGGAGGGAGAAATTTCGTTTTGAATGTTGTCAAGAATTTCAGTCAAGCATCAATTTAAATGCAATCAGAGATAGAAGACTGCACTTCTCTGAGACGTCTCCATTATTGAATCCATGGACGAAATACGCACAGAACATACCACATATCAGTATAAATGGATCTTCATCTTTATGAAAGCCTGTTTTACTGCCTTAGAAAAGTAAACAAGGTAATTTATGGCCTTTAAAAGCTATCTTGGCTTTAAAAAGAATCGTCTTGATACGCAAAGTTATTGAAATATTTACATATCATAAAACCAAACTCTCGATTGTGTCTATTTTGTTCAGGCATATGTGACACTCTGATATCTTAGGAAATATAACGATATTTTATAAAACAATTTTCTGATAAATTTTTGGAAAAGATAAATAATATAAAAAGTTTAATGTATTAAAAATCTAATAGATACAAAAAAGTATAATTTAGTAATATTTAAATTTATACAAATTTTAATATATAAGATATAAAAAAAGGAATTTAAGAAAAAAATCACAATATGCAGTTTTTTTTAAACACTAGACTTGATGCATCTGCTATAGACTGTTTTAATTTTAAGAAAATAGAGTGCCAATAATATTCCTTTTTATAATATGCGTCAATAATGTCATAGATAAAAAGATATAATAAAATATAGAAGTCGGGTATATAATAAGGATTTCATTATTAATAACATTTTTGTACTTAAATATTATGTGTAGTATATGCTAAATACTGTTAAAATATATCTTTTTCTATATCATAGTATCACGATCAACGGCGGTCACACATGCATCATTTGTATATACATATATATCATTATTCTATTCTAACATCAAATGTATCATCATATAAATCGACAATGACAAAAAGTACAAAACCTTATGTTTTAAGAATTCGTCAATATCTACATTAGTCATCGTCAGAAGCGAGAAAAATAACGCAAATGATATTAGCAATACATTTGTCCAAATTCAAAAAACTGAAAACAACTCACAAAATAAATAAAAATAAATAGAAAATTAATAAAATAAATTATTTTATATGTATTTTTACACATACTATAAATTTACTTTATTAATAAGTAAAGTAAAGAATAAATAAAACTTATCCAAAAATCTTATTAGTATAGCAGTAACAAGGAAAGCATTTGCATTGTGATTTCTCTCGCTTCGGATGTCACAATCGACAATGACAGACATAAGAATTTGTCACTGTTGTTCTCTGCTCATCGAGAGTATTTTGTAATAAATTGAAAAAATAAGATCTTAATTAGGAAAAATATTAATTATCTTGCTTATAGGATCTTTATAAATTGTTTTATACAACAAATTGTAGTATATATGTCAATTTTCCTTCTAATAGTTATTTATATTGATCACAAATTCCTGTTATATCATTGAATAAAGAATTTAAGATTCTATTTTACTGATTGTACAAAGCATATTTGGTAACAAACTTGAAATAAAAACGTACGGCAACTTGGTTCCTCAATAATTATTAATTTCTTTCGTTTCTATCTTTTATCATTAGTCTTTCTATTCATCATCCGTTTGGCACTTCGGCAAAATTTTGCAGTATTATTACACTAACTTCAAAAGAAAAAAAAAGAAAAAAGAGAGGCGTGTTACTTACATACAAACACACAAAATACAAACATCTTATATTTAGAAAAAACTTAAGCCTTAAAATCATGTCATTTTTGCACCATCAAGAGGGAAGATTTGAAGTTCCAAGTGTTAAAGATGTGATCTCACGGACGATCATATCGGCAATCCTCCATGCTAATTCCTCTTTAGCCTATCAATAATCAATTAATTAAATTATATATATATACATAACGTGCGTGAATAAATAACTATTACTTTCAATGGTAGTATTTATTCAATTTTAATATTATAAAAAGTGCCAATTATCCTCAAATACTTGCCTTATCTTGTTCTATATTTACAAATCGTTTTACAGCACGAGTTAGGCGAGATTCTGAAATTATGTACATAACATTATAGTACCATTATATTTGTTAACTTAAACTCACTATGGAAATGTTGAATAACTTACCATATTTTCTATGAGGATCTGGTTCTATTTCAGTAATAAATCTACCTAACTTGTCAATGTAACCAATGCTTAAACTGCAAAATCAAATTTATGGTTTATAAATTTATCAGTATTAATGTATTTTCTAATGTTAAAAAATGTAAAGTACCTATATTTATTACGTCGCCACAAAGAATCTGGATCGTAAAGTTGCCTAGTATCGATGTTCAAGTGACTGTTGATATTTTTTTTATTATTCGGTAATCTGTTGCCATTATTTCCTATCTGAGATGTACTTGGCATACTAACACACACAGAGCTTACTTCACTGCTACAGTCTGAACCTATAAATATATTTTAAAAATAAATATATTTTATATATTTTTTTTTCTTGTACATATTAAAAACTTCTAAATCTTATTTACTGAAATTAAAAATATCATTATTTGTTATTGAAGAAATAAGAATTTCTCACAATAACATGTTAAGTCGTTATTGGAATCAAGCGACACCAACCTGTTCTCCTTATCTTGGAATGCAAACTTGGACATGGGCTGCTCTGAATCGTACTGATTAATTCTGATAAGTATTTATAATACAGCTGTGATGATAAGAACGCCGGCAGATAATGCTAGAAAAAGATTGTAACATGGTACTGCTTTTTACGTTGATTACTTCGATATAGAATTCTGCGTGATAAGTGCGATATACGTGTGATAAATTAGTGCAGAGAGTGTACCTTATTGAGAAAATTATATACAATTTTGTTGGGTTTATCAAAACAATCGGGCTGTGGGCCTCTCTCGTCCTCACAGCAAATATTCTGCTCCACATGAAAACGAATTTTATCACTGAATCCGAGGGGCATCGTTGCTTGTAAACTGAAATATCTAAAAAAACAATATCCATATAGCTACTTATTTTTCTTTTGTACGGGTCATCTATATATTCATTGTCATCTATATATTCATAGAAATTACTTCTCATAAATAATAACTGCATCAGACTGCGCCTCTTCGGGATCGGCTGCACCTTTCTTCGCCAAGAGATTTTGCTTGTAACTTATAGCTGACATCCAAAAGTCCAACAACTCTCGTTTATTCTCGAGTTCCATAAACTGGAATGTAAAGAATGAAGAAATCTGTAATTAAAATTTCTGCCACGAAAGTAACAATCATCGGAAGCAAGATACAAACCTCCATGAAGTAAAAAAACGCTGTTTCATTGTATAATATATCTGCTAACTGTACATTACCACTGGTGAGTACATCAATTTGATGTTTGCAGTAAAATTCACTTCGTAAAAAATCGTTAATATACCTGCAAAATGCAATATTTATCATTTATACGCTTTTTTTAATACTAGAATAGTGCATATCAAACACACATGTCACTTACTCATTCTCTAATATATCGTATACTATGCTTTGCACAGCAGATAGGCACCGTAATATAGGCTCAATGTTCTTCTCTTCAACAGCCTTCTCCATTTCCAGCCTCAGTTCTTCGGATATTTGATTTATACCCAGAGCACCTTTGAGAATATACTTCTTGTAAATTCTCAATGCATCTTGTCTCGTTGTCGTCATGTCATGTCTCTTACTTCCACAATCGTGGTTTGATTGTCGCGTTTCACTCACTGCCTGACTAGTCTTTGGCATACCATTTAATACGGATGTCGCGTTGTCACTATTATCCGCGCTTTCATCAAATGGTATTTCGCTGCTCGTTTGAGTATTTACATTGTTAACAAGTAGATTGCAACTAAAGTTTTCGTTATCGTCTAAAGAAGTAGGCAAAGCATCTAATAGCTCCTTTTGATTTGACCGTCCAGCTTTTTCTGCATCTTCACCAGATATGCCAGACGCGCTGCACAAACATTCCACCTCTAACCAGAATTTTATGAGAGCTAAGTGTTTTCTGATATCCATAAATTGAATGAAGTAACCAAGGGCACTCTTGTCCATAAGTATTTCTGGTAGAGCTTTAGACAACCGAGACCTGAAGGTGTATGCTTCTTTAGTGTCATTATTGAGTATTTCCTCCTCCTCTTCTTCCTCAAGATTGCACAATACACCTGAGGGTGTTTGGATGGACCACGGGCTACCGTTGAATGCATCTGTCAGAAAGCTTCCCGAACTTGTTGATTTTGCAGGTGAAGTTTCTAACAATCCGGACTTATCCCTTTGTCCTACCAAGTGCCATACATATTTTATTAGAACAAAAATCAAAAGTTAATCATTGAAATATATAAAACAATGTATACTGTTGCAAACAACCATTTTCTATATACAAGATATTTATATAATCAAAGTTTAATTGACTCTAGCTTTAAATGTAAATGACAGGATAATAATATAAAAGGACAATAATATTAAAAAAGTAAATAAAGTTTCAGACGCGACAATGTGAAATATTATAAAATATAACAACTTTTGGACATTTCTGTGAAAATCAAAATAAAAAGTTGAGTAGAAAGAGAAGAAGTATAGTGTGACATGTATTGTAAATGTCATTAGGTCAGTTGTTCACGGTAGGTTATACGCATTAGATGAAAAAGTGATTCTTCTAATCATAATGCGATCTCGTCTAACATGTGAAGCAATCAAAGATAAATAATTACCAATCTTCTTAAAAAATTGGAGCATCGTTCGTGTCAACGCGTAACATGATAAGAGCCGTCGATGATACGAGGGTCACCGAAAAATAAATATCAAGGATCCAACTACAAACGCATCCTACGGAAGATGAATGGAACACATCAGTTTCGCCGAAATGTCAAACTATGCTGCGCGATCGAGTTCAATCCGGGTGACAGGCCAAAATTCCTGCTGACGACGACGATCCACACCCCGGTTACGCGCGTACGCGACGGTGCGCGACATTCCCCGGTGGCGTCATTACGGACGTAAGTGACAGATTACTGTTGTTTGTATCGTCGATTACGACAGATCCCGCGGGGATGTAGGGTGCAGGTGCTATAACAGCGCATCGGAGAGAACCGAGTCGTTTACATTTGGTTGCCCTCGAGAGCGATTCGATTCTCGATAGCGATAACAACGGAAGATTCCGGCGAGCGATTCGGAGCTATAATCACGCGAGATGCAACTTTAACACACGTTTTACACTTGCAGCGATGTAAGCATAAAAGTACCCTCGGTAAGAGAAAGAAGGGAAAACGAAATAGTGTAGAAAGTGAAGTGCATGCATTGTGAATGCAGCGCGTTTTTCAAACACTTTCAAAGCACCGATAGTTAGCGCTACAGCGCGCAATATGGCGTTTGTGTTGTTGTCAAAATATTATGACATGTGTTGTGTTTTATCGTATATTCTTAATTTTACTTGTATTATGAACAACTGAAAAAAGCCAATTACTTTTGACAACTACTTCTCGATATATAGATAAAAGGTATAAAATTGCATGTTTATTTATATTATATTATGTCATTCATTCTGCAACATGTTTAATGTATTATAATCTTAAAAAATAAAATTAAATTAATAATTTATTATTATACTTTTTTTGCATTAATTTAGAAATTTATGAATTGTAATTTATAAATTATAATATTGTACATATTAGGAAAAATCAAACTTTCAAACTTACAAGAACGAATTAACCTATCAAATAGATAGAGATTTAATAAACGATATGTTAAGAATGAATTATCGTAAGAAATTTCTCGTATCGTTATGAAATCTTCTTTCACCGAATTCCACTATCATAATCTGTGGCAACTACGGAAAGATAATGTTTTATCATATTATCTATAGCAACAAATTTCGCAGAAATGTGCACGCATCATTCACCCACATACTCATTTTTCGAAAAATTATATTTATCGATAAGCTAAACAAAATACACACATATAAGTATTGCATATTCCAACTTGTAAGTTTTAGAATATGCAGTCATAATGATACATAAAATATATTGTCACAAATCTTCCTATGTTTTTTTAAAACATTCTTTAACATTAAACTAGAAAACTTATATACATTTTTAGATACTATTTAATTTACTATAAAACCTCAAAATACTGTATAAAATAAAATTACAAAATTTAGAGGAATTTTTTTATTTTGTTATTTGGAAGATAATGGAACAAAGATAATACTTTATGTCATTTGTATTTCGAATCTATATTTATATCTATTTATTGCATTTTTATTATTACTCAATAGATAATTTCATTTTTATTTTATAGATTTTCGAAGCGTCTAGAGTCAATTTCAATTAAAAATCAAAGGTGTGTCAAATGGAGGGGAAACGTCCATTCGAGTCGAGTTTCGTAACCGATACGGGATCGAATGCTCGCATACAAACACTCCTGATGATCGAAGCGGGAAGACAAAAATACACACGAGTCGAAGATCCGATTGCGTGTACGCACGCGATATGTATACATACGTCTACGACGTTTCGAAGGCTGGCTGTCAAGAACGCGTAGCGCGAGAGGGCAACGGCCGGGCATCGTACTCTCAGGGGTTCCGGCGAACGCGACGAGAAGTACGAAGGCTAAAAGGTGACGGAGAAGAACGCATACGATGATCAGCCGAGCTGTCCACGATCGTATATACCGGTTTGGCCACGCGAATGCGGACCATTACGTCCGAGCGGATAAACCGGCTACGTCAGACGACATAGGTTCTCGCCGGTGCGGCTAGGACGGTGCCCGAGGCGTCCTCCGCCGCACATTTTTCAGTTATCACTCGAGAGAGTCGATCGCGGCCGCACGAGGATCATCATCATGCTCGGTCACCTCGTTATCGCGGTCTGTTGCATTACCGCTGTAATGCCCGTGCCAGCCAGGGTTTATGATCAGCGGCAAACCGGCGACCTGAACGTGCAGATAGAGCTGAAGGACCTGCAAGTCGTTGCGCTGCTCGATTCCGAGCTTTTGGAGGATTATACGGTAAAAAAAGATTCTTTTCGAATAAGAAATTGGAATAATACCTTTATGATCGTCTGTCTCTGTCGTGGTATCTTTTATGTTCTTATTTACTTTCTTCCCAACTTTGTGTATTCTTTTTTCATCGTTTACTAGACGATTCCAGATGATTTTTAAAAGTACAAATAAAACTTTTTCTTGTCAACCCAAAAATCCGGAGATCTATGTTGTCTAAATAAATAAATCACTTCTTAAATATCGTCAATAAATGTGCAATACTCACCGTCAGTGTCACGTTGCAGGATTACGATTACTTCTACGACTACGCCGACTTCACTATCAAACCAAGTAACCGACCTACCACGAGCACCACGACAAAGACCACCGAGAAAAACGACACTGCGGAAGTTACCGAACCGTCCATCATTCCGTCTTCATTTATCTCAACGCTTATCGATATTGTAAATTCGACTGAACTTAATGCGACGTCATTGAACGACAAGGAAACTCCGAACGCTGATCCATCGAACGGTACCGTGAACTCGACGTCGAATGCAGGTAGCGATGAAAGTCAGTCGAGCGAAGAGGATGGTGAGTCTGGAACAGTTGTTATCGCCCCATCGACCACGGTGAAACCCGTACATGCCCTGCGGTCGCAAAAACGTTGTAAATCCGGATACATTCCGAATGGCCGCGGTCGTTGTCGACGTGCGAGCCGACGGCGGTTGTCGTTGTTGCCGCTGTAAATACGAATTGTAACAACCGAGTTCCTTCGACCGAATGGATGACTTTTTTTCCATACGCCGTTTGCCGTAAATTTTAAGTAAAACTGGTACTTAAATGGTCGCATCAATGAAAATTGAATTGCATAGCGAGAATCTGGAGACAAGTGTCCTTCAAGCCATGTCAGAAATGTGCCATATCAAGCTTACATTATGCAGTAAAGTAAATTGTATACCTGTACTATTGTACAAATCAATAATTTCGTATGCAGTAATTATTTCCGACATAAATTTCCTTTTATCACGGTCCTGAATTTCGACAAAGGTCGCAATTCGAAAGTATGACGGAAGAACTTCCGTTCTTAAAATGTAATACGTAATTAAAAACGTACTTACAATTAACGTTGATTATATCCTTGCTTATATCTAATTTTAAGACATATCTTTTGGCAAAGGTTTTTAACGTTAAGTTTGCTAATAAATATTTTGATATACTCATAAAGCGAGTTTTGATTTCAGCAGCAAGAATATCCTGAAAATAGAAATCCATCATTAACAGAAATTAATACTTTAAAATTAACAATTAATATTAGGTTATTGCTCTTCCTTAATTAAAATAATGCTTTAGTATTTAGGAATTTTACTTTTAAATCGAGAAGTCTTGAAAATTTGAATATTAAATTAGCTTATTTCAGGTTTTATCTTACCTGTTCTCGGAATGTATTCTTAATGCCGCGTGCCGGTTCATCAGCGCACGCTTCCTCTGATTATTTATTCATAATTCGCAATTAGTCGCCTGCTCGAAACCTACGGTGTTTTCGTCCGCCGAGGTTCAAACAATCAATTACAATCTCACGCCAATCCACATGCGATGCCCTATAACCCGAGCGAGATGGATCCCCCTATCATATAGATATAACCGTGTACCGGTTCGGCGCAACCGGCCGCGGTGAATCCGTTGCTCGCGCGATCGTCGCAGTTGCGAGAAGAACCTTGCTCGTTTCGCTCGCGTTGCCGAAGAGCGTCGGTCGCACACACGTTACATTAGCGGCGACGTGACACGCACATAATCACGAAGATGACGACGATCGGGACGATGCTAATCTTCCTCGGCACGGCGTTCGTCACACTCGCCGGGATCGGCGCCGCGCCGGCGAAATACGATCAGCGACAGGAGGGCGAGTTCAACCTCAACGCCAAGCTGGAGAACTTCCTCTTCGTCGTAGCCGTTCCGAGCAACAATGAATTCTTAACCGATCTGGCGTTACAGGCTCTCGAGCTCAAGCTGAAGAGGTCGAACCTGCCGAAGGATCACGAATCGATCAAGACCGATGAGGAAATTCACAATGAGGAGCCTTATTCCGTGGAAATTGTACGGATAGATGAGAATCCTTCGGACGAGGCGAGTTCGACGCGAAAAGCGGAAGGGGAGAGCACTGCGAAAGCTTCGATCGGCGACAAGGCAGCCGAAAAGAGATCCGCGAAAGATGTGAAGGGCTTCGAGTTCCCCAAGAGCCGCGAAGTGCCGACTATCGTGGGATACCTCCTGGATCCGAAGAAAACGCACGGATCTTACAAAACGGAGAACGGCGCTCGGGCGCGGAACGTGCTTGGGATCATGTGGAATCCCGACGTCCAGGCGGCAAAGCCGGGAACGTCGCTAAAGAAACAGCTGCTTCGAAGGGAGGAGGAAGACGACGTCGTCGCGTCTTCGTCGAATGCTGATAAGAACGACGTGGCTTCGCTTTCTGAAGAGAAGCCGGAATTGTGGCTGGTGGGCCACGGCGCCGAGAACTGCGGTCCAGGAAGTCGCCGCAACGGAGAGACCTTTATCTGCGAGTACGCCGGCTCTCCTGTTTAAACATCTGAGATATGCTAGTTTCCATTATTTTTCCTGGTGCAATATTTTGCTTTCTCCTATATTTAACATAAATAATTATATAAATATATGTAGATCGAAAAGTTCGTTCATTTTTTTGATAGCGCAAGAGTCATGTAAGAAAAAACGAAAGAATTTTTTGATCACTTTTGATATTTGAAACGCGCTGAACGCGAGATGGTTGTCGTTTTATATGAAACGTATATGTGAGGTTGCGCATGTATCTATCAGATTATTTTAACGAATAAAATATTTAAACAGCAAGAGCAATGTGTTCGTATATTTAAACATAAGATTTATTGCTTTTAGTTTGATTCTGTAATATATAATCCAAATTTAATTTTTACATTCTCTCCAAAATCGATTGAGCAGCAACAATACTTTGCAAATCGGAAGCACGCGGAACAAACATTATCAATACTTTTTTTTCGCCTTGTTCTTTCCTCCTAGCTATTTGCCGTGAGATACCGCTTGTTCGGATTATTATCTCGAGAGAATTCTTAAAGTGGATGAATTCGCATCCTCACGGAGGATGAGAATGAATTTCAGGTGCTCTGAAAATCGCCGGGAACGAAGGTCGTTTCTGAAGGTGTCGTCGGATTCCCTTCCCAGCGCGAAGGCGGAAGAGCGCGAGCGAAAGAGAGAGCAAGGGCAAGGTTACGGTAATAGGCGCCTGGTCGCGGAACGGGGAAACGAACTCACGGCCACGATAGGACGTTGCCCTTTGCGGAGATCGGCTACTATGTAGATGCTCACATACACCTGTACAATGCGTTTATGTATCTGCGCACTGTGTCGTGGAATAATTATTATGCCCGGTCCTCCCTGGCGTCATCGCGTTTTCCTTCTTATTCTTTCCTTATTCGCGTAATACAGGTTGCCTCCGCGGAAGACGCTCAAAACGCGCAATTCATACGTCGTTGATGAAGATGAAGAGTTGCGCTCGTCTAATCTAATCGTCTATCTGACGCCGAGTGAACTTTATACAGATATTTAATTTAAAGTCTCGTTATTTCTCTCTGAAAGATATGGCTTTTCATTTAAGTTGCATCGCTGGAAAAATCTGTGTATCTTTTTAAATGCCAATAAAATTTTAAATAAAGTAATTAAAGTTGAATTAAATTTGAGCGAGCTTCCTCAGCCTTCGCATAAATTATACAAGCATTTTACGGCGTATCAAAATGCCGTGACGATACGGCGCAATGCGTGCCGTTAGCGGTGGGCCGCCACGAGGTTCTTGAACCTTTCCAGGGATCCGCGGTTCCAGAACCGACCGAAGGAAGAAGACTCGGGTTTGGATTGCAGGTGGGGATCGGAATCGTCTGCTAGTACGAGACATCGCCCGGTCGTCACATCTCGGGCATCCACCGTGTCGTCCGTACACGTCCAGCAACGTTCTCCGACGTTCGTCAAGAGTCGCCGAAGCGATCGGTCCTACGAATTCAAGCGGGAAGTAACTTTGATAAATTCGAGTAAAATCGCGATCGAAGTTTGGACAAAGAGATATTTTGCTCAGCGCATTCGGTCCAAGTTGAACGGGAGACGACGATTGTATATGATCGACACCGAGTGCAGGACAGCTTGACAGGTTTTTTCCAGCCGGGTGGAGAAAAACTCAACCGATCAGCCGATCAATGTTATCGATCAACATGCGTATATTCAAGACCGTGTTGCTCATCGGAGCTTTCGGTGCGAGCGTGCGGTGTCTGCCCGTCGCCGACGAGCTGCTCGGGTCCACGACCGAGGTCACCTCGGTGACACCGCAAGAGATAGCCGCGACCACGGCCGAATCGACACCCGGGCATTTCGATCCTGCGACAGATTACTACGATCAGCGGCAGAATGGCAGCGAAAACTGGCGCATCCATGTAGACGGTGTGGTGCTTGTGTTCGCACCGGTCGAAACGCTGCTCCTGGCCGGCCTCGCCGGCTCCAACTTATCGATACCCGACGGCGGATCCACGATTCCGTCTTTCGGCGATCTGGACAAGCCTAGCATCGACGTCATCAATAAAACTGAGCCGGCGATCTCGAAAACATACAGCATGAATAAGTAAGAAAAATATTTCACGCGTTGATTCCTTGATAGTCGTCCTACAATTAATTTTATTAATATCAGTTGAGATATGAATTTAATCGTAGTTTATTGTGATTGATATAATTGTTCATAAAAAATAATACAACTTCTTTTTCATCGATGTTCTTCTCATTTCAGACCAGCTTTACGACTGGCGAATTTCTTCGCGCCCTTTATACGTCGCTTACGCCATGAACAGGAAACGAGCGTGCATTAAAGCAACTCTGTAATACTCGCAACTCCAATATGCGTGGTGTTTCGCATATAGCATATATTTAAAAACCGGTACTTTCTCATAGATTTCGCTGTCTCAAAATATAATTGTTGGAAACAAGATCTTAAAAAATTATGCTTTGCAGGGATAGGATTATCTGCATCTACAGGGATGATGGACGAGTACTCGTATAACATAACGTGTACGACCGACCGACTTGATGTCGTACCGCATGCATTTATATGGTGTTTAGTAATCAATAAAGGGACGCGCCGATTGCTTACTATTAGTAGTTATTTAGCAAGCTCATTTCTCGTAGCTTGAGATAGCTTTTAAAATACACAATCACAGTTTCATTGATATTATTCATGACGAACGATTGAACTCCGTATCTCTATATATATTTTCACGTTGCTTAGCTTAAAATGCAATATTTAACTGTTACTTTCTCATCGCGTTGCGGTAGAGGTGTGTGTCACACAATATATGCAACTATTATTCATTCGCTTGCGAGCCAATCGAATATATTAGCGGCGGTCAGCTATGAATGCCTTGCAATCTCACTCATGGATGCGATCATTAATCGTAAAACTGTGTATTTACGCGATAGTACTGTTTTAATTAAGTATAGAATTATGTATACACAGCGCAGTGGCGCATTCGCGTGTATCTTGATATGAAAATTTATTTGATTAAACATTAAAATACATGTGTGTTTCTTTTTGGTTGTATCATCACAATGTTTCTGATGAAAATGCTTAAAGCTATTGCGCTCTTGAAAACCCTTCGCTTCGAGGAAAAAGAATCTCACAATATTATTTCATAACTTTGGTTTCACTCTGAGTGACCTACCGAAAAGTTTTCGAAATCTATCGTAAACAAATATTGTAAATGAATCCTATATAAATTATTCTTTCTGTATATACAGTCTTAAATAATAGAGGAAGAAATTACACACGTGCACGCGCAAGAATGATCGCTCGAATATTCTCTAAATTTCTAAATAGATCAAATCAGCACACTGTTTTCGAAAAAAATGCTTAAAGCTATCGCGCTCTTGAAAATCCTTCGCTTCGAGGAAAAAGACTCTCACAATATTATTTCATAACGTTAGTTTCATTTTGAGTGACCTAGCGAAAAGTTTTCGAAATCTATCGTAAACAAATATTGTAAATGAATCCTACATAAAATTATTCTTCCTATATATACAGTCTTAAATAATAGAGGAAGAATTACACACGTGCACGCGCAAGAATGATCGCTCGAATATTCTCTAAATTTAGAAATTATTAGATCA